TTTCCTCCTGCAGTCGGCATCATTGCCTCTGTTTTGTGAGGTGGAGGACTTTGTGGACTGGTGTTGGGTTAATGGGTTAATGTTGCACTTGTGGGCTTGGGCAGCATTGGGTTGGGATGTTTTCGTGGTGCACACTTTCTTTACATAAAACTCTCTCTTATACATGAGTCGCTGTGGATTTGTTTCTCCAAAGTACCCAGACTCACACACCCACCATGGCACAGGCTCAAACTGCCAACCTGAGAGGTGCAGCAAAAACCTAGTCATCCTCCTTCACATTTACTTCAATTGAACTCGTGGTTCCCCTGGAAAGCCTGCAGCTTCCCATTAATGAATGGCCACCTTCCTGCCCATACCTCCACCTCCTATGTGCAGTCAGCCGGCCCCACAGACCCTTCCCCAGGGCCGCATCCCCTCAAAAGCATGAAACAGAAGCAGCCCTTGACCCGAGGCGGAGGCACCCAGGCGCGAAAAGGAACCTTCACAGAGGTCAACCTGAGGTTTTGACAGGACAGGTCGTGCTAGACTCAAAACCCACATGGGAATGGCAAGCAGGTTCCCTGCGTGGGGAAAGCCTACTGCTGGCTTAACTGTCAGCCATACCCACACAGCTGCTACAATCTCCTCCTCCCAACGGACTCCAGGTCAGGGATTTGTGGTGGCATTTCATTATGGCCAGAAGGCTGGACATGCCTTGATTTTGAAAAAAATGCCATGAAATGCCCACCCCAGCCTGCTCTCTCTACCCTTTCAGGCACAGGCCCCGGTACCGAGTCTTGGAAGTGTGGGGCCAGGATCTCGGAACCGCTTTTGCAAACAGAAAGCAGAGCAAAGCAAGGTTAAACAATGTGTACTTGGTCTGAAAAGAGCCTCCCGCCCCATTCTTCGGCCCATGCCTCCTGCTGGAAACGGACCTCCTACAGGGCGCTGGGACATCTCGCTGGGCCCAGCTGCTTCTCCTTTACTGCTCGCCCCCAACACTGCCCAACATGGCAGAGACCAGAGCCTGCTGCTGAGCCCTGAGTGACATTGACAGGACACCGGCATGGCCTTTCTGCCAACTAAAACCTGTCCCAGGCCAAGCGAGAGGCTTCCTGGATATGGGCATGCGCCACCATCTAAGGATTTTACTTTTAAAATGACCGTTCTCATGACCATCACATGCGCAGTAACAGAACCAGAGAGCGGACAGCTTGCCGCAGAGTTGAGTGAGACACTTGACCTAGCCGCACTGAAACGGGACTCACAGGGGGTGGACTGTCTGCACCCGAATACAAGGTGTCTTCCTCCCCCTCCTACCTGGGCTCCAGAACCGGTTCGTTCTGGCTCCACCCCTGCTGGGAATGTGCCTTTCCAGTCCAGGCACATAGGATCAGAATCTATGTTTTAACCAGGTACCCAGGGATTCCTCGCCCAGGCGCACGTGGGTTTTGAACTGCATTTGAGGGAGAGGATCCTGGAGTCAAGGGATGCAGCCAAGTCAAATGGGCTGGATCCCCTCTGGCTAGTGAGGTTGGGCAAGAACTGAACCCCAGGTGGGATGAATCCTTTGCCCCAGATGATAGCTCCAGAACTAGCCGGGGAACAAACTCTCAGTACCCTCTATCCCGCAAACCCGGACACGTTCTTTAAGATTGCCCCTGCTGAATGTGCTGGACTCCTGGTAAGCGTAAGTGGGTGAGAAAGGGATGGCCACACAAATGACCTGGGCCAATCCCTTCCTATGGGATTGGCCTCGCCTCCTACAGCCAAGATTCTGGATGCTGTCCTATGGCTCCTAGCAAGCAAGCACCACTACTTTCGGCTGAAGCACCAAAGCTTGTCCTTTGTTAACGAAAGACGAAAATCACAGCTTTTTTTGCGGCGGCAGCAGCAGCCTGACTAGGCCTTTTCACCCAAGCCTGCTATTACAGAAACAAGAAAATGAAGGCCTTGCGGGACTCCCCGCCGGACCGCAGTGCCGCCTGAGAGGGGCTGGACTCAGCCACTCTCCACACGCCCAGGCCGGTGGGGCGGGGATTGTCCCCAGTGGTGCCCTTGAGGATGAGAACAGCAGGAACACAACATGGCACGCATGGGTGCCACTTACCCAAATGCAGTCCTTCTGGAAGCCCGTCCTCGGAGCCGTCCTCAGAGCCACCGTCACCTCGCTCCACAGCCCCGCTATCATCCAGCGGGGGAGCCAGGTCCGGGGAGCCCATCCTGGGCTGCCGCCCATCGGTTGCCAAGGTGGGTGACTCGGCGTCCGCCCGCCGGTCCTTCTTGTGCACCCGGGAGTGCAGCACCAGCTGGTGGTACGTCCGGAAGGCCTTGCCGCACTCAGAGCAGTGCGTGGGCTTCTCTTTGTGATGGACCAGCTTGGGGTCCCCATCCCCAGACACGTCCCCATTCGCCTGCCGGGCCTTCTCTTTATCGTGGGTGAGGCCCGCACAGCTGCCTTTGCCCCCCTTGGGCTTTCCAGAACCTTCAGTGTGGCCTTTGTTTGTCGCGCTCCAGATCTCGCCCAGCTCCTCCTTGTCTGAGCAGGAGTCGTCATTGTCGGTGCTGCCCTCCTGCCCGGGCTCCTTGACCTCCCCTCGGCTGACGGCCACCTTGCCTTTGGTGGCCAGCTGCCAGGCCTGGTAGGTGGTGAAGGCGTCCAGCTGCGGGATCCACGTGGCTGGCTTCTTGGCTTTTTCTAGGTGGGATCTGGGCTTCAGTTTGAGCAAGCGCAGGAACTCTTCCTTGGGGGTCACCACCTCGGGCCCGGGCCCAAACGAGGGCTCCCTGGTGTGCACCTTGCTGTGCTCGATCAGACCGTCTTTGTCCGGAAAGAAGAAGCCACAGAACATGCAGATTTTGAAGGGCGACGCGAGGCCCTCGGCCGCCTGCTCCTGCACCGCCACCTCGTTGATGGTCGCCGGGCAGTCGAGGCCCTGCTGGAGTTTGTTCCGCGCGCCGGCCTTGCCCGTGTGGGTCCGCATGTGGTTTTTCAGGAACCACGGCTCCTTGAAGCGCCGCCCGCACACGTTGCAGCCGTACGTGAAGGAGTCCTTGTGTTTCTTCATGTGGGTCTCGACGTCGTAGGCTGCGCTGAACGTCTGCCCGCACACCTCACAGCTCGGGTCTTCCTGGTCTGGGCAGCTCTTGCCCTTGGGAGGCTCGGCGCCCATCTGGCCCTTGTCCTGGGGACTCAGGTACTCGGCTTCGACGCGCAGCACTGCTGGCTCACAGAGGGTGGGCCGGTGCTGCACCAGCACGTGCTTGTTGAGGTCTTCCGAATGGGCGAAGGCCTGGTTGCAGAACATGCAGTCCAGGGGCAGGGGGCCCTCGGGCTGCCCGCTGCTTCTTTCCTGCGTGGGTCGGAACGGAACAGCAGTGGCGGCCCCTTTTATGGAAGGGCCATCAGTCACCTCAGTCTGGGGTCCTAGGGAATTGCTAATGACCTCCGGCCCATCCATGTACACTAAGAGGGACTGCGTTGGCATGTTACCTGTCGCTGCCGGTTTGCACCTCAAGCACCAATCTCTGGAGTGGGAGGGAGTAAGGCCACTTGTAAGGCTTTGTTGTGACCGCCACCCGGCGTGTGAATGATCCGAGTTCAGAGGGGGCTGGTCACCTTCTAATCTCTTCTCTTCGGCAGCGTGTGGCCACTTGGCAATAGAGGCTATCTCGGGGGTCTTTCCACACCCAAAGCATACAGCCCCGCAATTGCAGCGACCAGTCAGTCCATCCCCTGTCTGCATAAAGGAGGGATGCAGGTGGGCAAGAAGTCAATGCAGGCGATCCTGACGGGAGGGATTTCCAGAACCTGAAAAAGGACAGAAGAGGGACTTTAGCTTCTCTGAGACCACCCCAAAGCCGTCCTGGGGTATTCACCATGTGAGGGCAAGCACCTCAACACTTCCCATCTAGTGCCCCTCCCCCTCCCCAATACTGGCTGATGGGCTCCGCCCGCCCACCTCCAGCATATGAACCAAACGGCGAGTCATTCTTTCATCCAGCTGAGGCGCTTGGAAACAGGGTGCTGTGCTCATTTCAATGGAAAACTGGCTCTTTGGGGGCAGAAACGGTTTTTTAGAGTCTGCCAGATAATACCAAGACAACGCCCTGGTGGCACCAGGGTTAAAGTGCTCACCCAGCCACTAACCAAAAGGTGGGTAGTTCCAACCCGCCAGACTGACAGCCTGGAAAGCCCTCGGGGCTCCTGCTGTGTCCTGGGCGGGGTTCTGGGCGTGGGGATTGACTCCAGGGTGGTGGCCTTCATCGAGTAGCTGCTCTCCAGGCCTATGAGAGGCACAGGGCTCCAAACCCCAAAACTGCAAAGCTTGCAACACTAAGATGACAAAATCAAAGGACTTGATATCAAACATCCCAAAGCAGCCAGAGCGACAAATTTATCTCCCCCAAAACACACAAGTCACGAGGGCGCCACGGCCCCCTGGAGATGCGCACACTTCCTGGGTGAACCTCCCAGGCAGGGAGTGCGGGGAAGGTGGGGGAGACCGCTCCTCAGATTCCCATTTTCACAAACAGCCACACATGGTCAGGGTGACCTTGAATCCCTGTAGCTTCGTGAGACATTCCCAACCTCGACCCAGGGCAAGGCCCAGGGCTTTGAACAACTGCTATCCTCCACCAACAGGGTCTCCTGGGCCCCCTTCACGCTGCTGTCAATTCTTCTGTGTCTCTGTAGGTCCCAGGAGGGCTTCCCTGGCCGCTAACAGACCCTCTGGCACTTCCTTGAGAACCCCTGCAGGTTGGG